ARRWATTATTATTTGACTTTTTGTTATTSTACTTTTTTAGGATGCTGGTGGGATAATAGGAAAGGTGAATACAATTTTTATTTTATTGTTGTCACAAATTTCTTTCAAAATTTCCACTATCATTTKATATGCTAATATGTCAATAGTAATTATTCTTAAGAAAGATTCTTTTAACATTTTAGGCTGGCTCAAACATCAAGCGCTTGAGATCTGAGGTGAGGCTCATTCCAAAACTTTCTCAATTTGTTGTGATTTAAATTGGGATGGGATAGGTTTTGTTTATGTAGTATGAAGGCTAAGATTGTACAAGACATTTCAGTCATGTGCTTAAATAGCTGCTATAATGATGCCAGGATTTTTCATCTTCTGAGGGYCAGTTGTACTACCTCAATCTAAGTATTTGAAACAATGATTGGTCTGTGTTAATTCACTGTTAATTTTTCAATTTTATAAAACGAGGAGGCATAGGATATGAAACAAATGTGCTTTAGAAATATTCCCTGAGGAGACAACAATCCTGTATTCATTATGTTCATAAAAAATAGTTGGCAAATCAAAGCATGAAATGAATAGATTACTGTCATGTGGAATGTCATATTGTTCTTATTTATTGTAAGGCATGTCATTTAGTCGTAGGATGCTTCTTATACAACCAGAGTGCATTTATAATCAAGAATRTTTCATTAACTCCTTGCATGTAATGTCAAAGCAGCTTCATCTGGAGACAAAATAGAGAACCTTGCTCTCTTATCCTGTGAGCTAAGATTGTTTTGTCCCCTAAGGCTAAGTTGTTCAAAGCTTGATTAACACTAATCCTGAGTTAACTCAAAATCTACACTTGATTATTGCTAATTGAGCTTTAAACATTTGGAGCTGCATTCCCATGAACTTGCAAGGGATCCTCTATAATGACATGTATGCTAACATAGTTCATTGACTGACTCTTCTTTGTCATTCCCTTTGATTCCTACCATCCCTGTCCCTGTTTGATCCATCCCACACCCGTTTGATTGACCAATCACGGGGCCCTTGGTGTTGTCCCTGACTTGAATGACCCATCTCCTCAACTTAAAGTACAATGCAGTGGTCAATGTTCCCGACACCAATTCCTCAGAGCGGTATGTCCCAATCCTCACACGTACTACCAAGTTTTTATGGTTGTACTTCTTGTTTGTCTGTCTCTGCATCAGCTGTTTGTTTTGGCTTTGATACTGAGTTATCTATGATTCAAAAGAAAGTGGCCATCAGAAAATTAATGTAATAAAATGATGTTTATTTTTTGCAAAACTAATACACCATTRTCTTTCTACTTATTTGCACTCTATAATATTACATCAATGCACAATGCATGTAGTGTGCAAAACTTGGCATTAACATATCAGATAACAACATAACCACAAGCACAAAACCAAACGTATGAGGACAGATGTATACTAAAGAAAAAACCCAAACCTTTACTAATGTTTACTAATAATTATTTATTGCAGTAAAGCTAGATTTGTGAATAATACAAAGCTTTTTCTTATAGCTACAGTATGGTCACTTTCTTTTGAATATCATGATTTACACTTGTGCCCAAATTAATTTGCCTGTTATTGGCAATTCAAAAGCTGAATGCAGAATCTTTGTTTGTTTGATGTTTTRTTTATGAATTATAATAGTTGCTGTAATTTCTTATTTGAAACTCATTGTATTTTGRTACTATTACATAGTATTCTCACTATAACTGCCATGATGCCGACTGCTTTGACTATATTRAGAGAATGTGTACCCAAGATTGGAGAGGTTGGTATCAAAAGTATTGTTTATATTGAAAGTTGTACTAGTAAAATTCACACATTTTTCACTTCTATCTGTTTTTAGCATTCTCGTGGTAGCAATAACCCATCACATGATATCCAACTGCTCGTTCAGCGATCACAGATTGGAAGCATTATTGGCCGAGCTGGTTACAAAATCAAGGAAATCCGTGAGGTAACAAACATTTTTTGTTATGGCAAAAAAAACAAAATGTGATTATTACAAATGATTCTATAATTCTGGACAACGTTTTTGTGAACAACTGAATAGTATCTGCAATATTGTGAAGTATTTCAATAATAAAGTGTGATTTATAATTATTAGAATTCTGGTGCAAACATCAAAGTGTTCTCAGACTGCCTTCCCAATTCTACAGAGAGAGTTGTAGCCATCTCAGGTAAGGGTGAATGTGCTATAGAACTTTGATGTTATACAACTTTTCTGTGTCCAGTTCTCAGTGACTTGTTTTAGAGTTAGAACTGATGTTAGTTTTTATTATTAATGTATACTAAATATTATTCCTTGTTTACTTTCAGGTCCTTTAGATACTATTGTCAAGTGTGTAGAAATCATATATCAAACTCTAGAATCGGTAACACTTTCATTTATTTATTTTCATTCATAACATGTATTTTATTCATTAATTCATTTCCATTCATTTACTTTTCTCATTCATTTTTTATTCATTCTCCTATCCATTCATTTATTTGTATTTATCTTGCAGACTCCCATAAGAGGTCAAGTCTGCCTTTACTATCCCTCTTCGCAGGGTGGCTATGATGACTGGTCATATGGAGGCTATGGTGATGATGGYAGAGGTCCAATGGGTCATGGACCAAGAGGGGGTGGTAGAGGTGGAGGAAGAGGCGGTAGAGGCAGAGGGGGAGGAGGTGGTGGTAGAGGAGGTGGTGGTAGACGTGGTGGAGGAGGGTTCAATGATGGTGGTGGACAAGGAGGCGGAGGAGGAGGAGGCGGCTATGGTGGAAACAGTGATTTTGCTCAAGATATTGTAAGTGTTCCTTATTGTTGCACTATTGCTATTACCCCTGCTTATCAGAGGTTTAATTTCTCTTTAGGGCGGAGGATTTAACGATGGTAACTTTGGAGGAATGGGGCAGAGTCATCAAGAGCAATCTGACCAACCAACGTCATCCACACAAGTCACAATTCCTAATGATGTGAGTACTTTTTGAAAAAAAACAAGTAGTTTTATCAAGTAAATTTATAATGCAGCATCTTGAATTATTATTCAAGTAAAGACAAGAGTAACATAGTTCTGTTTGGTGAAATTAATAAAGTATTGTTTGTAAAGCAACAAAAAGGTAGTGGTTCTAATGTTAATATTTCCCTTACTGTGTTTAGCTTGCAGGCTCCATYATTGGCAAAGGTGGAGAACGCATTAGAAACATAAGGTAAACTATTTTACTTATTTTTGTAGCAAACAAGATGTATCACACTGAGTTAGCTTATCAGCACTATTTGTGTTGCAAAATTGATAGTACAAAAAATTCCTATCGTATTGACAGCACCATTTAATAATAGTTTATTATTAGAACTATTTCTTTCAAAGTTTGTGTGCCCATTTGTTATACTGTAAGTTGTATGAAACTGATTATTATGATTTTTAAAGGGGTCGATGTGGGGCAGTTATCAAGATAGATGATCCATTACCAGGAGCTGATGACAGAATCATCACTATCACCGGCACACAAGATCAGATCAACTTTGCACAGTTTCTTCTCCAACAGAGGTAAGTTATAAATCCTTTGAAAACTAGAGTTGTTGCTCAGAGCACTAGATTTAAGTCATGTAATACTTTGATCAAACTACACAATAATTTTGTTCTGAAAATTGCAGCATCATTTTATTTTTTGATTGYTTCTGATGACTGTTTTCTTTTATTTTACAGTGTACGGCAATACTCTGGAAAGAAGTTTTAGTCAATCACTGTTCGTTATAACAGAGCAGACAGCATTCTTACATGACAGCAGTATATACATTCAGTGGAATTATTTTCAAAGAAAGTTTAATGTAGTAAATTTTCTTGCAAAATTTTATGCTTTAGTAATAATAATTATGCCGCTATTTTTCCCCTGGGATTTGTTGTACCTGACAACATAAAAATGGTCTAACTTTAATATTAGACATGATTGTAACATATGGATTTGCTACACTTAACATAAAATACACCAACTAAATGTGAATATTAGTGCATATAGAGTAAAGTCAAAAACCTGTGAATTTGGCATCACATGAAATGTTTTGATGCATTTATTTGTGTATTTGACTATCACACTATAATAGTAAACTTTTTTTTCACAGTAAACTTTTGACTTCACTCTACCGACACAAAAACAATCAAAATAATGTCAACTAAATGTACTAACTAGAAGTTTACCAACATTATTTATGGGTTAAGTGTAGAGTGGTTCTCATTAACCCGTGAAATACACTTTAGCGTATTACACTTTATTACACTTTGTCTCTTTTGTTTTCTATTATATTTCTTGGCTATTACATTTTATTACACTTTGACTATTACACTTTGTTTCACGGGTTAATGAGAACCGCTCTAACAACAACTTTAGTAAAACCCCATTTCTTATGTTAAGTAATCATCCATTTTTAGTGGTAATTTCATGTAACTATAATTGTACACTCTATCATCAAGAATAAAAGTTTCCTTTTTACATGRGTCAATGTCATTATTAGCAATCATTAGAAAGTGTCTCAGTGTGCTTCATTTAACACATTCATATAACTGTGTTGGTTGCTTTTAGATGAATTCTCTTTGTCTTAACAGACTTGCTTCACTGAGTGATGACGTATTTATGAACCAACATCATAAATGAGTTAAAAAATAAAAAAAACATGATATAGAATTGGCCACTTGACAGCAAGCTTTATAGAAATGGTCTGTCCAGCTTTATGTAAAAATATGTGTTTGCCTTCTCCTGTATATATGTATAACACTTGTCATGAAGATGTTCCTTGAATAATATGTCGTATTTTGTCAGCATCACTTTGTAAACTTGCATTTGTTGGGTCTAACTTTAAAGCTTCTTCATAATCTTTTAGGGCTAAATGGAAAATAGATCAATAATTGTTTTATTTAAAAAATAGTACAATACATACAAGGGCTAAATTGCATGCCTTCAAAATACAAAGCAAATACAACATTGAAAAGATGAGTAATGTTATTACTATTTCAACTGTCACCTTCTACATATGCATCAAGTTGAAACAATGCTGTTCCTCTTCTAACAAATGCTTTACATCTAGATGATGCATTGTCAGGTACTGGCGGTGTGAGTAACTCTAATGCCTACAAAAATATGGATTAACAAGTTGATAATATTTATCCATTAATGTAAAAAATTCAACCATCAGAAAACCACTGTGTCTGTATGTTAGAAGATGCAATTTACACTTTGCATATTCCATAGTAGAGCAGAGTCACATGAACCATGAAATAAGAACTAAAAAGTACTAACTAATAGGSACTATTAGTTCCTAATAGTCGTTAGCACTGAACCAGAACAGTTTATTTGATCCAATAAGCAATACCCAAGAGACCACTTTAACAATCAAAGTAATCTCTTTGTACTGTTCTGGTTCAGTGATAGTGTCTAAATAGTGCCTATTAGTAACTAAGTATTTAGTTTCTATTTCATGGTTCAAGTGACTCTGCTCTATGCCATTTTATTTGAAATGAAGCCTTAGTTTGTAGTTATATTTATAATTTTGTGCATACCGAAGTGCAGTCTTGGACACATTCTTTGTATTGCTTCATGTGAAGATGACACGCAGCACGGTTTGAAAACAGACTAATAAATGGTTAAGGATTTAAAAAACGATTAAGTATTTAAAAAATTGATTCTGTGCTAATCTGACCAAKATTGTACATGACTGAGTGATTATTGAGAATCAAGTAAAGGATACGATGGTATATTTGAATCAAGTACAAGAGCAGCAGTAAAGGCATTGATAGCAGCAACATAGTTTCCTGACTTGTAGAACCCTCTAGGGATAAACAAAAAAGTGAATTATCAATATGAGGGTATTTTGGGTACTGTACCACTTACTATTTCTCCTACATTATCATTAAAATGMAAGGAGTTCAATGCTAAATAAATACATACATTCCTTTGTCCTTCAGCCATAGTGGATTCATCTCTTCCATGTCAACWGCATCAGGATCATCTTTCAAAGTCTTTTTATTACGGCTTGCTTCGGCTACTTTCTTAAGCCACTAAAAACAACAGAAAATAATGTATATTAGTGGTACCACTATAACTAAATAGTTAACCATCAAACAGTCACTTGCTACGAATTAGGTGATCCACAATGAATAATCTTGATTTTGGCTCTTTGCTCTCTTCAATCTCAGCCCCTTTTCAGAAAGTCCACAGGGGAGTATTCAGGATTTTCATTGGGGGGGAGGGAAGGGGGGGTGGGTCCTTACATACCAAAATGTCACTGTGACATCATATGACGTCAATATGATGTCATATCAATCTATGGTTTTGTTGCTTTTTTGGCTTTGAAAGGGGGGGTCATGGGCACCCTGTGACCCTCCCCTGGATGCGCCCCTGGTCCTGAAGTGACTTCTTAAATGATGGACATTAATATTGTCCTATGAGAATCAGTAACATGGTGGGATTCACAAGATACCTCTTCCTCCTCAGGAGCCTTGGATTCTCTTGCRGCYGTTTTGAAAGCCCTTGGTGTGAATGATACTTGGATGCATCCAGCCTGCCTAGGTTCAGGTAGAGGTTGGACTAAAATATCTTTCTTTTTATCTAGAACAAACATTCACTTTACTGTGATGTACTTTTTTTTAAACTCTAAAACTGTTATATTRAATATAATGCTAAATAAATACGCAGTATACTCACTTTTGCTTTGATTTCTAGCTCTAGTTTGTGATTTTGTTTTTGAGTGTGTTTTTGATGCTGATTTTTGATTTTTGTGTCCAGGGTCAATGWCATCTTTATAACCATTAATAACTGTGATGTCTTGATTGACATTTGATTCAACATCACCATCATAATGATCACCATCATTGCAGTCATCAGCATCATCATCACTGTCTAAGTGACTCAATGATGGTTCTTTTTTAGCGTGATGATTTTTCAWTTCTTCAATGGCTGCTGAAGCTTGTCTTCGTTCCTCCTCTTTSATTTCTTCTATCCTTTTCCTTTCCTCTTCTTCCCTCTTCAAGGTGAAATTAAAAAAAATAATATGGCTAAATAATGCCTGATTTATATTGTTCTTTGTAAAGATCGAGTACCTTCATTTGCTGTCTGAGAGCATAACGTTCTTGYTCTCTTTTTTGAGTTTCTTTCAGCTGCTGTTCCTCTTCTGCTCTCTCGTGAGCCCTCTTRATGGCGTCCTCTCTTTTTCTCTTTGTGAAATCCTTGTCCTCTACCTCAGCTGGCTGCAGAGTGYCCCATAGTCCCGCTTCCTTCTTAACCAGACTGAATACAACGACGCCATTACCAACTGTTGCTTTGTTCTTTACATCTTCCACAGAGGCTAACAGAAAGACCTCAAACAAATATGGCGGATAACTGACCTACGTAAAAATATATAAATACGTTTAAAGCTGCTTTTAAACACGCTCTAGACATAGGGCAATAGCGAAAGAAAGTAATTAATAAGCGTTTCCTACCTTGATGTATTCTTCTGTRGAAAATATGTCAACTTTGTTAGGCTTAACACCTTTGAGTGGCACAGTTATTCTGACAGTYTCTTCGCTTTCTTCCCAATCGTAATCCTTGACCAAAATCGGCATTTTGACAATAAGAAAGGATTCTAACAACAACCTACAGCCTTGAAAACTACTTTACAGACTTAAAATGTACCTAATAATTGTTTAAATTGACATTTTTGAACGAGCAACAATCTCAAACAGCTGAGCATGTTTGTTTGTAATCACTCAATCRCAAAAAACTCCAGGCGTTACTTACTCGGTTACTAAGTAGTTTCCAGTGCCTCTCCTGTGAAAGTGCAGTTATGGCGGGAAATGCGAAGAGACCCAAGGTTGGAGTTGGWGTGTTTATATTCAGCCCTCTTCACCCAGGATGCGTTTTGATCGGAAAAAGAAAAGGATCAGACGGACAAGGAACTTATGGTCTTCCAGGAGGACACCTTGAGTTCGGGTTAATGCTCATTTATTCTAAAAATTCACTAACACGTGTTCATCATTTCTCGATCCCTTGCCGAGGATCTTTTGCTTTCGCTGTTTTCAGTCTGGCGAATTATTTTATTGTCTTTTTTATCTATGAAAATTACTTTTTCACACTTTTCGAACAAGTTTTTGTTAAGTCTAACGACTCTTTGTCGCAAAAATTATAAGTTGTTGTGACGTGGCCAACATGGGATACCTGTGGAATGACAATCACATTACATACAAGGGAGGGGAGGGTACAGACTTTGTGCTCAATTTTGTCACCATCCTGTAAAAGTATATTTTCTTTATCCTTATTTTCAGTGAGGAATGGCATGAATGTGCTAAAAGAGAAATCTTCGAGGAGACGGGTCTGACTGTTAAGAATGTCGGCTTTGCCGCTGTTGTCAATTCTGTCATTTTAAAAGAGGAATACCACTACATAACCATCTTTATGAAGACAGAGATAGATACAGAGAACGGAATAGGAGAGCCTATCAATACTGAGCCTGATAAGTGTGAAGGTTTGTGCTATCATTTTTCACTTCAAAGCATTTTTTAAACATTAAAATACACATTATTTAAATGACTGTTAGTGTTAACAGAACAAAAATGTTACATTTCCATGTGAATATCAAGTAAACTTTCAACAAGTCTTTGAGAAGTAAAATAATTATTTACTAAATGCTTATTTCCTTCTTTTTCTAGGATGGGAATGGCATGAATGGAATTCAAAAATGTTCCCTTCTCCTCTTTTCCGTCCATTGCAAGATGCAAGGGCACAAGGCTACAATCCATTTGAAACATGAAAGTGCTTTTAAAACCTATTTTTCTAACTGTAAATTAAATAAACATAATAATTGATAGATAGTAACTATTCAAAAGATTTAAGACAAATTATGATTTTTTTGYAATTAACCAAATATAGTAGCTACATATCCATGTGTCTTTGGCTTAAAGTTGAATATTTAAAGCTCTGTCCAGARAGAATAGTCTATGCTGTTTATTTTCCTAGCCACAATATTTTTACAGGTCTTTGCACATGTGCCAAATTATAACTAATATGTATTYAAAAATTCTCTAAAGACTGGCTTGATTTCACCTGGGTCCTGGGTCCTAGACTTCTTATCCCCAGATTTGGGGAAATGCCAGAAGACACTGAAAATATGGGCATGTGTGGATGCCAATTTTTATGAATTGTGTTGTTGACATGGACAGAGTATCCAGATCCTTGTTTTGCAAACACTCCAAGACACTTGAATTTGTGAGAACTAGTCTTAATGAAATAAAGTGTTTATATATTAATTGTTTTTTCTTAGTCTGTCTTTCCTCCATGTGAAAGGTGTGTGAGGTCAACTTCTTCTCCAGTAATGGCTGATACTTCTGTTGATAACAGTTCATGAAGAGATTGATTATTGCGCTTGTATATCCATGTATTGCTAATGAAATCATATCTTTTAGGACCACTGGAAGAAAGAAAGATTATTTTATAATTGTGAAAGAAAAAAGTCATTTAGTAAAATAAAAAAAGCAGTATTTTGATAGTGTTGTTTACCTTGAAGGGGATGATAACCAAATTTGTTGGTTTGGAGTTTGCTTATTAATCACATAAGTTCCAACATTACCTATGGTGAACAAGAAGAAATTGTCAAGTGATCAAAATTGTTAYTTTTTTTCTCAATCAAACTACAGTAAGAAATCACAGGGAAGGGGACTTTCTTTCAAACTGGTAGGGCTTCTCAATGAATCACTAGCTAGGGTCAAACTCATGAACAGCTTATTTCAAAACACTGTTGAGCACTCTCACAAGCTTATTCAATGTGAGACACCCCTTGAAACCCAACTCAATAATTTTACCTCCAAAATGGACTGTTAGCACACCATCCTAATGAATCAAAGTAGCAAATATAATAGTTAGTCTACTTATGGATAGGAAGAAATCTTTGTAAGACTTAATATTGAAGTGGTTCTCAAGTTGTGATATGAATATTTTGTAGTTTTATTGTGCACTCAGTTGAATATTGTTGGAATATTGGACATATACCATACCCCAAAGTTAACATCATAATCATCAGGTAGATTATATTTATCTGCAATACTGTCAAAGAAATCTGACAAAGCTTCCAGCGTCTCGTCTGTGATATGGTGAAAATCATTGACGCTCTGAAAACTAGACAGAAAAATCTTAACARYAAACATAAYAAATAAAAGTCGGCCATAAAAATAAATTGAATGCTTACTTTGATAGCTGTCTTCTTGATAAATAAGTGGACGAAAAGATTTGCTGAGACTGTTTAAAGTTCATTAAATACATTAGGAAATTTCAGTGTGAATTTTCATTTATTTATTATGTCCCACCTCGAAATTTCTTTGATATTGTAGTCTATTGTCCTTATGAATATATGCATTTGAGAGACTTCGTCTGAAGGGCAGCAAAATCGCCAGAAAATTCGAGCTTCGGGAAGCACAGCATCTCAAACGTCCCAACATTATTAATTTTGCAAAATCCATCAGGCGTTCCTTTTTACCACAGGAAACCCATTGAATTTGATATCTTCATAAGATTTAGGMATTCAATATCTTTAGTAGTTTTTAGCCGTGAAATATCAAATAAAGAACTTTCAAAGATACGTTTAAATCTATTTGGCTCATTGAAATGTATAACATTTTAGCAAAACAATGTAAAATATTTGGGCTACCTGTTTCACACGGTTAAGACTAGGATCRAAGCAAGATCGCTCAAGGCGCCATATTTAATTCCATGGCACGAAAGTTKAACTTTTATTGGTGTTTATGAAGGTCAAAATCAAACGTAAGTAGGCTATTACTATATTCTACTTATGTACTAAGTGTCTGTCCTCTGTTGAGTGATAATATTTCTTATTTATTGGAGTTTTTTTCTGTCTATTTTCATGCCTTCTGTCTCCAATGTCAACAACCAACATCTATTTCACTTATCAGGGTAAGTTTACCTTAAATCTATCGATGTTTCATAAACTGGATAAAGCTGTCTTGTATAAAGAAAAAGTGACGATAAAATGCGTGTTTTTAATAGCGATATTTAAAGTAAATAAACAAGTTTTGATGTTATTGGTCTGCAATGAGGATAATAAACTACATGTGATGGCCTATGAACTCACTCTCTTTCCACAAGATGTTATACACCGATCATCTTAAAATACTTGATAATAAATATAATAATAAATGATTAATATTATATTATCAGTTGGATAGGAGTGGCAACATGGCGCTGGGTTGCCAATGACGATAGTTGCGGCATATGTCGAATGGCATTTGATGGSTGTTGTCCTGATTGTAAGATACCTGGTGATGACTGTCCATTAGGTAATGTGTGCAACATCTCTCCATTATCAAAACAAACAGGAAGACATGGTTTCTCTCTCATTGAAGACCAGAATGCTTTACATATGATATAAGACCTATAAGAGGAGATTCCATACAACTGTGCAACAACACAGGTCATATAGAGCGGATTTCGTATGAGTGGGAAACCGACGGTACTGTACTGTGACCGTAATCATACTGTAACCAAATTCTAGTGCCCCATTGGTTCACCAAAATTGTGCAGGCCAGGTGCGGTAACTGTGCGGTAACCGT